TGTTGAGTCATTACGTGTTATAGTGTTGACGTTAACGCGTCGGAGCAAAGTGGCCGACTCGCTTGGGTGGCCGACTCGCTTGTGAACCACGTTACCCTTGACCCCTGCTCAAAAATTTCCACTGGACTCTACTTTTTGATAGCGTATGAACCAGACTCGATGTCTTCAAGAAGTGGCGTGTCCTTCGGTTGCCACCCAAGCTTCTTGTGCGCTTTCATCTCTGAAGCTCTATTTTTAGCCTTGAGAAACCACGCGATAGTTTCTCCAGATTTATCTAACGCTTCATCATAAGTGATGTCCTTGGTGGGCGTACCGGCCGAAGAATTGATAACATTCAACAGGGCACCCATGGTGACTTCGGTTTATGATCCCACATTGAACACATCCCAAGCCTCGCCTTTTCCAAGTGCAAAAAGAATGAGACGGACAGCATCATCAACATGCACCGCTGTGGTGCGGTTCTTACCACCATCCACAGTAGGGATCCCGCCCATGACCTTTGCCATGCCCATGAAGCGTGCGATGCCGCTTCCACCACGGACATAGGCAAAGGGGGCCATACGAATGATCATGACGTGAACACCTCGCTCTTTTACCTGAGCGAGAGCATGGCTCTCGGCCTGAATGCGCAAACTGAGAGTGCTAGGCTCGGGAAGAGCGTCTTCATCTGTCTCATTTCCATTGGGATCGGCATGTACGAATCAAGTACCCGAAAATGTGATCAGAGGCTTATTAGTGCCGGCCAAACCGTCGCACATGGTATCGACGGCGGCGTTGTCAATAGGGAATGCGACCTCATACTTGCCTTAACCAAAGACATAGACAGTAGCTAAGTTGATGACACTATCAGCCTTTTTGCTCTCCTTTCGGAGCGCATCCTAGGAGGCTAGATCGCCTCGAACGGGCTCAGCACCCAAGATGCGTGATTATATGTCGCTTTCTTCATAGCGGGAAACAGTGCCTGCATGTCGAGTGTATCATCAGTCGATGTTGTCAGGAGGGAATGTGGTATGACATGTAACTACGAACCGTGTAACCGTCAGCAACGGCAAGTTGGATGAGAACGCTGCCAATGTATCCACTATCACCAGTAACAAACAAACGTCCTGGAATTGTTTTCGTTATCTGTTGCAAATGGCAGCAATAATGAGTTAGGGGCGGAGCATTTATAGTTGGTGGATAGGATCAGAAAAGAATGCAGAAGCACAGTGAGCTAAGCTGTAACCAGATAACCATTTTCCAACACGATATTGCAACCTTCTTCTTGCTCATTTGCGGTGCAACATGGTGTTGGCAAGTAAAGGGCCAGGATCCGAGGGGCCCGGCTTTGCCGACACCTTGTTAGGCTGGACCCCGAGGTACCTAGCTACCACAAGTGACAGATTGGGGATATGGGCTTCGGGGAATCGAGAGATTGAACAAGTTGAACGTCTGCTTATGTCGAATAAGCTAGCGGGTCAAATCAATGACAAGGCACCCTATGGAGGCTCATTATCACGGTCCCTCATGGTCTCTACCGACCTGCGAGCTCCAGTTGACTTGTATCCCTATCTCGTGAATTCGCTTGGTACTATGTATTCTGGTGAGAAATAATGTAAAAGATCGAGAAGAAAAGATTATGCGAAAAGCAATAGGTAGTTTGATTTGTAACTTCATTGGTCAAACCCCCAAAAGCCCAACCCTGGCTAGCTATCAAGGTGACTAAAAGGGGTTTGAAGGATCCGGCATCATTTCCAACGTGCCTATATCTTCCTCCAAGGCCGTTACCGGCAAATCCAAAAACCGCAATTCCCCCGCGACATCCTTAAACTCTGAAAATCTATGCGCGTGATGAAACCACTCCCAGTGGTCATGTCAAGCACGCAACATGACCGGACGCGGGGAACGTTCCATGCCAACTTCAATCGTGGATTACGACAAATCGCAATGATACGTTGAGAAGCTGCACTCGCTCAATCGCAAGAACCCACTATGCAGAAAGCGCTGGGGAGTGGAATCATGGTATCGTTATTTCCTTAGAGTCGCAAGCTCCGCCTGCTCATCAAGGGCAATGGGATACATCGCTCAAGCAGTCTTAACAAAAGCTTCATCATCTACCGTGGCAAATCAATGGTCGCTGTGTGCTCTCGATCACAATGATTCGCATTGTTAGAATTGAAGACCTATCGATTTTCTCATTGCACGAAAGCTTTAACCGCTATCAAAGTGAAAACAACGCCGCAAGCCCCAGGTTGGCCACACATGCCATACCACGAGATCGAAAGCCCAGTCATCATCGCCCACATCAATCGTCAACATAGTCAAAACTTTACACAATCTTCCTATTATCACCCCCTTTACCTTCGCGGAGCTCCAAATACTCCTTCGCCAACTGCTTATAATCCGCTGGCTTATACGGCTCAAAAATCTCCGCAATCTGATTCCTCTTGCGATGCGTCTCAATGCCTACATCATTCAACAACATATCTATATATGGCATCGACTCAAACGCAAAGTCCGGGATCGTGTCCCCGTAGCCGCATGGATACCTGTATCGACCCCACTGCGTGTGTCGTAGGACTTCTGCGGTGATGTCTTGCTCGGTGGAGGCAACACGGGCCAGCTTGCCGTCGAAGAAGGCGGAGATCCAGAGACCTTGCATGGTGGCGAAGAGTGCGGTGCTGGTGGTTGATACCATGCCTGCGAATGCGAGGTTTCGTTGGTTGACCAGGGCGGGGGGGACCATGAAGCGGTACATGCGGTGGAGGTCGTCGTCTTTGCGCTTATAGCGGACGACGGGTTGGCGTTTGAGCCCTGGGAATTTTTCCAGAATCTCGCGATTGGTTTTCTCAATCAAGTCAGCCTTTTCTTGGCCGGATTGGGCCAGACCAATGCCGCCCTGGGGTAGATTTGTGAAGCTTAGGGGCACGTCTTTTTTCCAACCGGTGGCGCAGACGAGGACGTCGGTGGAGATTTGCTCGCCGTTTGTGAGGTGGACGGTCTTTCCGTCGAGCTTGGAGATATCGGCGAGGTGGACGCGTACTTTGCCTTCTTTTACTAGGTCGAAGAAGTTGGTATCGAAGTTGTGAATGCCCAGGCCACTGCCGGTCCAAAATACTGGATTCCATGGTTTTAACTTGAAGACTTCGGGGTGGTCATCATATCCGTTTGTCTCGATTATCTCGGCTGACATGTTGTTCCAATAGTTGTCGGTGAGCAGCCTTCCCATGCCAGTACGGTGGAGGAAGCCACGCGGTATCGCGAATCCGTCCTCGTCTCCCCATGCACATGGGCTGAACCAAGTTAATGCTCGTGTGTGAAGAAGCTCTTGCATGTCCCTTTTGAATGGTGTCGCATAGGGTTGGGCGAGCCATACCGGGCCTTGTCCTGTTGGCCGTATAATTAGGTTTACAGTGGCGTTGCCTTCAGTCGCAAAGGCATATGCGATATCCATTGCAGATTTGCCACCTCCTACTACAACAGCGGTGTTGGATGTACCAACCGTGTCTGAGCGCTTGCAGAAGTCTTTGGCGTGGAAGAAGGGCGATTCAAACGTGTCGGCTCCCTCGTACTGGGGGATGTTGGGTTGCGAGGTGAGTCCGCATGCAAGCACCAATCTCTTAGTATTGACCGTCTCTGGTTCACCACTTACATTCACCACTTTTACTAGCCATCCACCAGTGGAGCTAGGTTCGATGCCCTCCACCTTGGTGTTCAGTCTCGTTCGCTCATCGATCCCAAAATGTTTGGCAAAGTCCGTCAGATACCGGTGAAGCACCGCGGCGGGAATGTGCTGGCCTTCTTTCACGCCATACACTGATTCCAGCATGGGGAAGTCGGGATATTCGTATGACCCGTACAAATTGTTTGACTTCAGCCCGGGGTAGAGACGGTCGGCTGACCATGTCCCGCCAAAGGAGCTTGCGCCATCGACGACTAGGACACTTTCGCCGGGATGAAGTTCGATGTAGGATTTTGCGGCAGCGAGACCAAACCAGCCTACGCATCATTGTTTAGCTCGGCATTCATGAGTTGGGAAGTCGCAGCAATGACATACCAGCTCCCACTACGACAAGATCATGTTCGGCGCCCATTTTCAGTTACCTATTCTGATCAAATCGTTGTGGAGTTCGAGGTTTCGATCAGAAAGTGAAGAGAGCTTAGATTACTTGAAAATCAAGCACGCAATTGTTCTCGGTACAATCACAGGGGCTGATTTCGAAAAGAGGTGTTCGAGGTGAAGGTTTCCAGCGCTAATGGATCAATACAAAGGAGCAGACAAACAAATAAATCCGTCATCAACGGGTGCCGGCTTGGTCACCGTCTAGTAATATGTAGCATGCGACTAGATGCACGGGAATACATAACTGCGCCCTGGAATAGAGGACTAGCCGACTGTGACGGAAGGTGTCGCATCTGCGGAATCTATGTCGCCTGACATGTTTTCAAACACATAACTCACGGTCGGATGAGAGACACGCAGTTTGGGTACACGGAACGCGAGAGGCACAAGCGGCCTACCGCCATGTATCCTAGTCTAGTCTTCACGGTATTGGACCCCGAAAGATTGTCTTATCGGCGCTACTAAATGTTCTCTTAGTGTGCCGGACTAGCCGCATTCACGGCGGAACAACCGAGCGCATTCAATTCGTCATGAGCTTTGCTCTAGAACGATGATTGATCCGCAGCGTTTCTGGAAATCAACTTTCTGATTACCCATCAACTTCATTCTCGTATTACCGAGGAGAGATGGTTGCGGGCAGGATCAACGTGGGTTTTGGGTGGACATGTAAGCCAGATCTCTACATGTCCAAATGCCATGCCTTTTCGCCTCTGATCTCAGAAAACGGGCACTGGAGACTGAACTGAGTTCGCGAACTAGAGTCGTTCTCTCAGAGTTGTAGTGCTCCAGACTGAGTGGTTGGTATCCCCGCGAAAGGAATGGGGATAATGCAAACGCCAGCATAACACGGTCATTTCAGTATGTTCAATGGTTGAGGTGCAAAATTTATTCTACTACTTCTACTACAAAACTCAAGTATCAATCTGACGTCCAACATGTAAGCCACCTGTAATCGCAATATCCGTGCCTGTTGTATAGCTAGACGCATCACTCAACAGGTACACCACTGACCCAACCAAGTCATCCGTCGTACCAATGCGCTTGAGAGGTGGTGCATTGAACATCAACTCCGCAATCTTGGGGTTGTGGTCGCGCACAAACTTGGTCTGCTCGGTGTCAATGAAGCCAGGAGATATCGAGTTGACTCGGATCCCGAGAGGCGCCAGTTCTGTAGACAGTGCTAGAGAAAGCATCCTCACGGCACCCTTTGACGCTGAGTAGGCAGACATTCTGTGACTTGGGAGTACAGTGTGCGATGTGATGGAGGCGATCAAGACGGCGGATCCTCCGGTTCCTTGCTTTTCGATTTGCTCGGCGAACAGCTGTGTTGCCGTGTATGTGCCAGTTACCTGTAATGAAATATTAGCCAACACATTGAGTTCGAGATGAACAGCGGAGCCTTACGTTGACTTGCAATATCCTGTTTACTTCTGCGCTAGTGGTTTTCGCAAATGGCTTCTCAAGTGCGATCCCTGCACTAGTCACAAGACCATCTACCCTTCCCAGGCTCTGAACTGCGTCCGCAAACGCCTTCTTGAGCGAACTTTCGTCTGCCACATCGGCGCGGAAGTATGGAAGTTTGACACCGGTTTCTTTGGCCAGTTGTGCAAAATGATCAAGCGGTTTGTCTTGAAGATCCAAGACGGCAACATTGCCGCCCATTTCAGCAATTGCTTTCGTCAAGGCCAGTCCGATACCTTGGGCACCACCTGTGACGACATAGTTGCGTCCAGTGAGCTCAAATGATGCGCGCACTTTGGAAGCCATATTGGACGACCTGTTCTGCCTGTGCTATAATTGGGTAATGCGGTGCTATTGATTGAGAAGAATAAATGCTAGCTGACTACACATGTCAGTGAACGTCTTTGTTCTCTGGGGGAGACCACCAACCTTGTTCCTTTCTTGTTTCGCTTCAATGGAACTTCGCTCGACTTGAAAGTACTACTTTACTGAATGCTCCCGCTATTTGCTTTTCTTCCTCGAGGCATGCATCCACATGCGGCGACGGATGCTGACATAATACACTCCGGAATGGTGTAGGAAATTCCGACCGTGCGTCGCAACCAACGGGCGATCGCGAGCGAGTCCGGTAAGACACAAGGCAAAATGACAGATCGACTCCATGACAGGCCAAGTATGCTGTCGGCGGCCGCGCCAAACCCTGGATCCGTGGGCTAGGAGGTCGCGTGAGGGGCATCAACGTTGGAGAGGATATCAAGAGCCCGTAGGCCAAAGTTAATCGATAATTTTATGCTTTAGAACTGCAAACATTTGCTTCAACATCGCATCAGCGGATCTTTATCACTGCTGAAGCTCAGTCATATTTCAGTTTGAGTTGACCCTTGACACAAATGCCTCAACCACCACAAGACACCATGACTCAACCAGGATGGCGAGCCCTCAATGTGGGCATCATTGGCGGAGGGATTGGAGGTCAGGCATCTGCCATTGCCCTTCGACGGCAAGGGCACATTGTAACAATCTACGAGCGCGCAGATTTTGCAGGAGAAGTAGGGGCCTCCATATCGTGCGCCGCAAATGGCACAAGGTGGCTCGAGGAATGGGGAGTGAATATTGAACTTGGCGACCCGGTAATTCTGAGGCAGCTCATTAGCCGCGACTGGAAAACTGGCGAACCAGCAAGTGTCTATGACCTCCATGACTACAAAGAAAAATGGGGCTATGTAAGTGGTTTGCATCTCGTCTGGGACTAGTGACTGATGTTCAGTAGCACTACTACATGTTCCACCGGCAGTACATGCATGCCATGCTTATGGATAGTGCGGTTGGCCAGCGTGGAGAAGGCGTGCCCGCAAAACTCAAGGTCAATCACAAGGCCAAAGACGTCAACCTCGAGACTGGCGAGGTCACATTCGAGAACGGTGTCACAGCCAAACACGACGTCATTATCGGTGCCGATGGCATTGGTTCGACTGTTCGGAATGTACTTGGCATTAAAGTCGACAAGGTCCCAGCATCCTGGAGCTGCTTGCACACCAACGTAGACACTGAGGAGGCTGTCAAGCTCGGGCTAGTCGACTACTCAAAAAACGCTGCAATCGAATACTGGGGTGGGTATCACTCGCACTACAAGATTGTCCTATCACCTTGCAATGGTGGAAAACTTCTCTCTTACTACTGCTTCTTCCCGCGTGAAGCGGGTGACTTCCAGAATCAATCTTGGGACGAGGCTGCCACCCTCCCAGAGTTGCTCGCACCGTATCCAGACTTAGATCGCCAGGTGTTCAAGCACTTGGAAATTGGCTACGAGATCCGACCATGGAGGCTTTGGAAGCACCAGCCGTACCCGTACTGGCAGAAAGGAGTGGCCTGCATTATTGGAGATGCCGCACACCCGGTATGTTAACTACCAGTGCTGAATGAATTAACGCTAAATATTTGCAGATGATGCCTGATCAGAGTCAGGGAGCCTGCCAGTCCATCGAGGACGCCGGAGCTCTTGGCACGATTTTCAGCAAAAAGAATTTCAACGGCAACATTCGCGAGGCTCTTGAAGTTTTCGAAGAGGTCAGGAAGCCGAGAGGAACAAAGGTGCAGGCAGCCTCGGCGCGAGCGAGCGAGAACATCCACGAGCGCATTGGCTTCTCCAGCAACAAGAACGATCCTCATTACACGGTTGCGGATGAGAAGAACAAACTCACAATTGAGGAGATGAACACGTGAGTACTAAGTATTATTTGAAGAGAATGTCTTTGCTGACGCAGAATACAGGTACGATATGCACAAAGACGTGGCGGAGAAACTAGCTGCTCGAAGGGGTACGAACGGCGTCAAGGCTTAAGGAATTTTGGGGCGATTTGCAGTGTGTCTTGGTGATGTTCAGTAGTATTTTTGTAGATTCCGAAACCCTCAATGGCAACCTTGGGCAAGATTAGATCCAATGTCACAACGTGGAGCGAAAGACTTGATGGTATCTTTGTGTCGAGTGCGTGTAGTGCTCATGATTGGGTCTTCAACACCCAAGCGCCTTCTCCGCATGTTCTAAAATGCGACGGAACGCTACCCGGAAGGAGGGCGCAGCTTCCGGAATGCAAAGAGCCGCGTCCACCACCCCGAAACGGCATTACGAATGACCGTGAATCGCCAAAACACGGTCGATCAAGGATCAAGGGTATGAACAATCCAGGGTTTGGTCTATCATCATGGGCAACTGCAGACTTCAAAAACAATAAATGTGATTGAGCCCTTGCAGCTTCCCACAGCCATTCAACCCATTGCACGCAGAGAACAAGATGATGCGACTTTTCAGGACATCAGGGCAGCTGCCCAGAGCCTTCTGCAGAAACTACCAGCAATCTCGATCCTTCCATTTGACAGGATCTTTGCAAAGTCGTGATGCATACCAAATCCCCCTCATCATTAACGGCCAAGATGTAACAACCAACACATCTTTCGAAGTCCAGAGCCCCGCCACCGGAAAACACGTCTGGAATTCCTCGTCGTGTTCAGAAAAGGACGCCATTTCTGCCGTCGAAGCAGCAGAAAAGGCGTTCCCGGCATGGTCGCAGACCAAACCGTCAGCCCGTCGAGACATTTTCTTGCGAGCTGCCGACATTATTACCAAACGCAAGAGAGAGCTGGGAGATTACATGCACCACGAGATTGGAGCGGACCAGTACTATCAAGATTTTATTCTGGGCTTGTCTATTGAAGGGCTGAAGGACACAGCTGGGAGGATTCCAGACGCGGTGCAGGGCTTTGTGCCTCACGTGATGCAGGATGGTGCGCATGCTATTGTTTATCGCGAGCCTTATGGTGTTGTGCTAGGAATCGGCCCTTGGTGAGTTGCAACACCTTTCTAAATTTTTGTACTCTACACTGCACCTCGAATACTACGAACGAGGCTGATACTTTGTTCGTGCGACAGGAATGCTCCCTATCACCTAGGCTTCCGTGCAGTCACATTCGCGCTCGCCACGGGCAATACTGCGATTCTAAAAGGCCCAGAGCTGTCGCCGCGGTGTTACTGGGCTATTGCAGATGTCTTCAGAGAGGCCGGGTTGCCGGATGGAGCACTCAATCTCCTGTTCCATCGACCTGCTGATGCTCCCAAGATTACAGAGTCACTGATTGCTCATCCGGCTGTGCGCAAAGTTAACTTTACGGGAAGCTCGCACGTGGGAAGTGTGATATCTTCTATTGCTGGGAAGCATCTCAAGCCAGTGCTTATGGAGTTGGGTGGCAAGGCAAGTGCCATTGTCCTTAAGGATGCTGATCTCAGTAACGCCGCGGAGCAATGCGCGCTGGGTGCCTTCTTGAATGTAAGTGACGCTTTTATGAATGAACTAAGCCATTCGACCGTTTCTGACATTTTTGCAACAGGCTGGCCAGATATGCATGTCTACCGAGCGCATCCTCGTTCATTCGTCCATCGCGGATGCTTTCAAGGAGCAACTCAAGCAAGCCATCAGCAAGACCTTCGGTGCTGCAAACAACTGCCCAGTCGTCATTACCAACGCCTCTGCAAAGAAGAACAGAATACTTTTACAAGACGCACTGGTCAAGGGCGCCAAACTCATCTACGGTAACCCCGCTGTAGTCGATACCAACGTCGAATCGAAAATGTCTCCAGTCGTCCTCGGCAACGTCACTCCCGACATGGACATCTATGGCACAGAGTCATTCGGCCCAAGTGTATCGCTATACACCTTTGACACAGAGGAAGAAGCCATCACGCTGAGTAATGATACAGAATATGGACTAGCTGGTGCCGTCTTCACAGAGGATTTGAAGGCTGGCCTTCGGGTTGCAAGGCAACTGAATGTTGGAGCTGCTCATATCAATACAATGACTGTGCATGATGAGTTTGCTCTGCCACATGGTGGGTTCAAGAAGAGCGGGTTTGGAAGGTTTAACGGGAAGCAAGGGCTCGAGGAGTTTGTCCAGTATAAGACTGTCACTTGGCTAGATAGCACTCAGAAGTAGCGAGAATAACATTTTGAACGTTTTGTAAACACACTTCTATTGACTATATTCAACGACGATGTGAAATACAAGTTTCTTCCACAGGCCCATCCACGTTGGCTAGTATTACACCTGAAAGCACTGCGTTGAGTAGACGTGAAGTCTGTGCTCCCATATCGCCACCGTGGGTGTAGGTATGGTCCGACCTCCACATTTCCAAGCCGCCAGCCACGCGTCAAGAAGGTTTAACAAGTAGGCCTAGACCTTCCGCCCCTTGTAACCAGCAATACCCTCATTTATCATCAAATGCGGGGGTGGCTTAACTAGTACCAGAAGATACATACTATGAAGGGGAGATTCCCCGGGCGAAGCCTAAGAGTCGGTCCATTTGCTGTACTTAGTCCCCGTTTCCGGGCCTTCATTGGGGCTGTCTTGCAGCGGGCCCCGCAACCGTTGTTTCCGCTTGTGTACTGCGCCCGGTCACATTCGACGGAGCATATAGGGGTCCCTATCCAAGTGACAAATGCTGGATTACTCAGTTTTCTATACTACAAGCGTTCTTCCCCTATCATACCATTCAATTGCTGTTTTCCCCCTCTACTAATAGGAATTTTTTATATCTCTTTGCGATTTTCTGCTATAGAGCTATATGCTGTGAATTATCCATTGCAATGCTTAAGAACTGTTCTATATAGGATATAGGTCAAAAACAGAACGAAAATCTTGTCTCCTTTCAGTAATTAAAATAGTAATAAATATAGACGCTTATATTCTGAGCTGATATGCAAAATAGCTGTAATAAACCTTGTTGTAATCCCAGCCATGTTTCCGTCGTATATGCCCACCCGCAGCAAACTGTCTGCAGGCTACCCATTTTGCTGACGCCCTGCTAAGCAGTTTCCGAAGTTGGAGCACAAAGCTGCGTATCTACGTCGGACCCCACGCACAAACCCCCAATCTTTTCAAGGGTTCATGGGCCTGCCACATTATCTGTCGCAGGACTGACTCGAGGTTTCTTGATAAGCTCTGCCTCTTTAGGATAAGTCGAGCGCTTGTTCGGAACGGCCGCGTATAGCGCCGTCACGTGCTTTGTAACATCCCCTCCCTATAACCGTGTCGCTGGTCAACACTACGGCCATCTCTTCTTCTACAGACTCCCTCACTTCGCTGAGGTGACTGTGTAGTTTTTGTGCCGACATGCAGACGCCGCAGTGTGCTTCGAATGAACTCTCGGCTTCGAGGCTGAAGCTGTATCCTACAAACCCCAGCAACAAGGAGGCCATGTTCGAACTCAAGGGTGGTGATGATGATCATGGCATCGGCAAGGTTACAAATTTTGACATGCAGGCTGGGCATGCCGAGGTGAGTTATTGCCAGTAACATCAACCTATGGCGAACTGAATTGCTGATTTCCGCAGCCACCGAAAGTGTATGGATTCTTCTCCATGATGGCACTTGCTGTGTCTTTGATGGCGACATGGGAGGCACTTTGCAGTACAATGGGATCTGGTCTGGTTAGCGGCGGACCAGTATCTCTCGTCTATGGATATATCGGTACGCTTTCCAAAAAGTGCACTAAAGTTGGATACTAACAATTTCGCGTAGTGTCCTTTGCTGGAAACATGTTGACCAGTATGTCGTTGGCTGAGGCTGCAGCCATGTGAGTAGCACTAGTGCCATATTATTCGACCTTCATTGACGATTTCCCATCAGGTTCCCTTCCGCAGGCGGCCAGTATCAGTTCGTTGCCGAACTCAGCCCGCCGTCAATCAGAGCCTCAGTCAGCTGGTACTGTGGATGGCTTACAGTTCTGGGATGGCATGCTTTCACAGCATCTGCTCCATTTGGAGCAGCCAATCTCACCTTGGGCTTAATCTCGCTCTCCAATCCTGATTTTGTGTCCAAGCCATGGCAAAATAGCTGCATCTATTGGGGAATTACCCTGGTAGCGCTTGCATTCAACCTCTGGGGCAACCGTATCTTGCCGTACATCCAGAACGCCATTCTCGCCTTTCATGTTGGTTTCTTCTTCATCATCTTCATTGTTTTGCTAGCTTTGAAGCCAGAAGCAAACAGTGCGAAATTCGTTTTCACCGAGTTCCGCAACAGCACGGGTTGGAGCTCTGATGGCGTCGCTTGGTTTCTCGGAATGTTGACCTCCTGTTACGTGATGATAGGTACGCACCCCGACCACCTTCACAATGGTTTGATCGCTAACTCATAAATGTAAAGGCTACGACTCTGCAACCCACATGTCGGAAGAAATCCCCAACCCAGCCCGCAACATCCCCAAAGCCATGCTCCTCTCCATCGCCATCAACGGCGCCATGGGCTTCGCCGTCCTACTCCCGGTTCTTTTCTACATGGGCCCTCTCGACGCAGCTCTCGGCTCTGGTCCCTTCCCCATCATCCACATCTTCACCCGCGTCACAGGCGGCAATAAGGCCGCCGCCAGCGCAATGACCTCCACGATCATCATCTCCGCCTCCTTGGCCACCTTCGGCCTTCTAACTGCGACATCCCGCATCCTCTGGGCGTTCGCCCGCGACGGCGGAACCCCGTTTTCTACGGCGTTGGGGCGCCTGGGAAGTAAGAGCCAGATTCCCGTGACGTCGCTGTTGGTGTCCACGGCCATCATCATCCTATTGGGCGCGCTGCAAATCGCGTCCTCGACTGCCTTCGCCGCTATCCTCTCCCTCACCGTCGTCGGGCTTAACCTCTCCTATCTCATGCCCATCGTCCTTATGCTCTACCGTCGCCTCATGACGCCACAGATGCTCATGCCGGGGCCGTTCAAGCTGGGGAAAGCAGGCATCTTGGTGAATGCCTTGTCGATCTGTTTTCTGATCTTTACGAGCGTATTTTTGCTATTCCCGACGGCGCAGCCCGTCACGTCGAAGAATATGAATTATGCGAGTACGGTGCTGGGGGGCGTGTTGATACTTGTTACGATCGACTATCTGTTTAGGTCCAAAAAGAGGTATACGGGACCGACGCTTGTTTTGCAGGGTATGGCTGTGAGGGATTGATGGAAGATTGTATCTCTGAGGGGATATTTCTAGTGTCTCGTTATGATTTCAGGATGTACTACCGTGGGCTGTTTGGCTTACATGCTTTGGATAGGGGTTTTTAATGTATTATCATGATGTTTGCCACATTCATCGAGAGGCATCCCCTTGAACACCATCTCAAGATCTTCTTTAACTTTCGCAACTTTGTCAAGTGCCTTTTGCCGGAGCAAACGTGCGTCCTTGATCACTTAGGATGTTGAAAAACACTCTTGATCAAGCCGACAAGGACTCGTCAAGCACACTACATGAGCAACAACGAAAGCCGAATACGTCTACATCATATACACCAGCCCAAGGTCTCACTAGCACGAGAGCAATATCGTAAGAGAAGGGTCAAATTTGAGTAACTAGCTGCACAAAGAAGCCACCTACAATCTTGGCTTCATAGCAATGGCCACAGTCTTTGGCTCCAAATAGGCCATCAATCCCATCCTTCCGCCCTCCCTACCATATCCACTCTCCTTGGCCCCTCCAAAAGGCGTATATGCTGAGGGCGTAATTGGCATATTGATGCCCACAAACCCGCACTCGAGGTCCGACGACAACCTCAGCGCCCGCGCCACATCCTTGGTGAACAGCGCGGCCCCAAGCCCGTAGGCGGAATCATTCGCCATATCAATGGCCTCGACTTCAGACTTGAACGTCTTGATGACTAGCACGGGCCCGAAGATCTCGTCGCGGTATAGCGTGCTCGAGGATGGCGGGTCGAGGATGATGGTTGGCTGGATGAATTGGTTCTGGGGTCCTTGGGACTGGCCACCTGCCAGGATGTTGAGGTTCTCGGTGCGGGCGGCGTCGATGAAGGAGGTTACGCGCTCGCGTTGCATGCGGTCTGCGATGGGGCCCAAGAAGGTGTTTGGGTCACTGGGATCGCCGAGGGCGTTTGCGAAGCCCTGGAACCGTGTCTTGAGCTCTGCGACGAAGGATTCTGCAATGGTGTCCTGGACGAGGAGGCGCGAAGTCGCGGCGCAGACTTGGCCGCAGTTGAGCAGGAAGGTCTGGGACATGTGCGTGAGGGCCTCGTCGATGTCTGCGTCATCGAAGACGATGGCGGCGGATTTCCCGCCGAGTTCGAGCGTCACGCGCTTGAGGTTGCTGTTTGCGGCCGCGACTTGGATCTTGCGGCCTGTCATGGTAGATCCCGTGAAGCTGATTTTGCGAATCTTTTGGTGGGAAGCGAGGAGGCCGCCGGTTTGGCCAAAGCCAGTGAGGAGGTTGATGACGCCAGGTGGGAAGCCTGCGCGGCGGACTAGGTCGGCGAAACGAAGGGCACCGAGAGGTGATTTCTCTGAGCTTTTGAAGATGAAGGTATTGCCGGCTGCTACGGCTGGAGCAATCTTCCAGGAGAGGTAGAAGAGGGTGGCATTCCAGGAGGCGATGCCCGCACATACGCCCAATGGCTCATATCGAACCATTCTGTACGAGCCATCGAGGTCTTCAAGAGATTCGCCGCCGAGCTTGTCGGTCCAGCCAGCGTAGTAACGCCACCACGTTGGCATTGTGGATGCAATCCACTTGGTAGCTGAGATCGGGGCGCCCATTGCAGCTGTCTCAAGTTCAGCAAGCCACTCCAGATTCTCCTCGATCAAGTCGGCGAGTTTGAGCATGCACTTTGCACGCTCGGGGGCCGGCGTCCTGCGCCAGTGCTTGAATGCAGCATGAGCTGCGTCGACGGCGTCGTTGACATCTTGCTCGCCAGCAATCTGAACATTCTCTGCGATGATGGAGTCGTCGTAGGATCGTTTAACGGTAAACGACTCTCCAGAGCGAGCATTCCGGAACTGGTATCGCGTGATTAGTTGTGTCTAGATAGGGTTGTGATAATCAGTACCTCATTGTTGATGAAGAGCCTAGTTTCGATGGATTCAGCCATGATTTCGAACTGGATGGAAATAGAATGATGTCACTGCTGTGTATTTTGGTATATCGTTCGTCTAGATGTCAATAATGCTTTAGGTCTGAATTAGTTTCTCACATCGAAAGAGACTGAGCATTTCCAATCCATGCTCACAACTACCAAATCCAGACCCTCAATTCAGTGCACCAATCACAGCAACCTTGCTAATCGTCCAGGCTAGACCGGACTTACCACAACTGTTTGCGGCGGCAGCGGAATTTGCGGAATTGGGCGTTCCGATATTGTCGGCGGCTTGGCCCATGTTTCAATAATGGCCATGGCGCATATTCCTACAAGGAGCATGCCGGCGGAAAGGTGGAGCTCATGGTAGTTCCCGTCTACGCGGTTTTCCTTCCGCGCAATCCTTCGCAATCCTTCGCGGAAGCCGTCCGCGACCCGCTTGGTTCAGTGCTGAGGAAGCGACCGCGGACAAGTCCAACGATGTAGAGACGAGCGCAAATTCGGGATCTGTCGACGAGGCCTTTGGATAGTTGCTTGGATTCTGCTTACGCCACATGATGGGATGTGAAGGGCAGGCTAGCACCAGCAAGCCTGGTTCGAAATTTGACATGGGCTTTACATAAGCCTCTCGATAGATGGCCAAGTACGACTGAACAAGCCCGTAGTGCTGTCTAGAAGAGTTGGACCATTACTGAATTGCATCCTGGTCTGGCTTGTTCATTTGATCATTGTCTGTCGGGCGTTGATTTCTGCAATCGATGAATAATTCAGGAAAAGCAATTGATTCTATGCATGCACATTTTGCAAGGGGTGTAACTGACTATCAAAGTGATCGTCAAGTGACTGATACTATGTGCGCAAAGGTCGTGTTGAGTAATGCGACAAAAATATCCAGAGGCATAGCTCTCAGTTTCAAGGATTCAAGTTCACGACGCATATGGAACTGCTGATTTGAAAAGATTGATGAACATTTCAGGGAGTCAAATCTCACCCACGTCTTCGTAACATCTGGCTAACTATGGTCTTTGTATGATTGATCGTTTCGCCTTCCAAAGCATTCAAGAAAAAATTGGGAAAAGGGAAACAAAGTCCCTGCCTCCATCCATCATTAGTGTCTAAAGCGAAGGCTTGGTCAAAAGCTTGTTAATCTTCTCGTTTGTTTTGATAAACTGCTTGTAGTTGGGGAACATGTCATTGGGGTCCCATTTGGCTCGGATCTTGAGGAACTTGGCGAGTGCGGCGTCAGACATAGGTTTGCTCTGTTTATGTTGTCAGTTTGATCATAGCAGCAGTGAGGTGGGTTTCAGGCCCGGCTTACATTTGCGTCTTCAACGTTGGGATCGTAGTCTGCAGGATATGTGCCACATGCGACTGGTAGAGCGCGCTTGTATCTCTCCAACATCCGTTGCTTGATCGCAGGCCCCTTCTTTTGGTCGAGCCAGCCTGTGACGGTAGAAATGTAGTACTTTTGTGGGATGCTCAAAGAAGCGACCTTCTCGTTGGCGACGATATCGCAAATGCAGATAAACACCGAGGTGATGCGCGTTTCGAGCTCAGTGAGAGCAGGCTTCAGGGCTTCAATGAGCTGAAAGTTGTCAGTGAGGATGTATAGTTGTTCACACTGCAACACTTACTCGTGGAATGGGAATGGTTGGTTCGCTGAGCAGACTAAGAATCTGCCAGTTCTCACCGTACTTATTCCCAATGAATTCACGCTTCTTGTCGAATATGTCGGTGAACTCTCGTTTTGAAACAGGGCGCATGTCGACCAAGCAGTCCTTCACACTCTCCGGAACATCGTCGTAAGCACTCAGCAGGGTCCGAGCTTCCCGTTCAGTGTCAGAATAGCACAAAAGACTGAGACCGAGGTGTAGCTGGGACGTCTTGGGTATGTCATCCGTGAGTATGGTGTTGTCGTACTTTTCCGGATAGAAGATAGTGAGATTGAGATCGGTGCCATACTTGGGGGTATCTTCGGCCTTTTCGAAGAACCATGTCAGCAAGGTCTCGTACTTATCACGGAGCTGGAAAGTAAAAGTCCGTTCCCAGAGCTGAGAGCTAGGAATTGTGCGAGCCCAGAATTTGGTTACGACACCGAAGAAGCCCAAGCCGCTGCCTCTCGCGGCCCAAAACAGGTCAGTGTTCTCTGTAGGGCTCGCAATGACAATGCGGCCATCGGGGACCACGATCTCCATCTGAGTAATCCATTCCTGGCATGTGGCTCCCCAACCTCGCACAAACCAGCCTTGTCCTCCCGCCAACAAGAAGCCTGCGGCGCCGACAGTAGGCGCGTGGCCGTGAGGAAAGAAGCGCTTAACCTCTGCAAGCTTTGCTGCGACTTCCTCTACACGGACAGCAGGACCAAAAGAGATCTCACGGGAGTGGGGATCATAATCAACATAGCGGTTCAAGCTGGAAGTGTCGATGAGTATGCCGTCCTCAATCAGTGCGCTCAGAGGGAAGGCATGGCCGGAGCCACGGATACCGACGGTGACACCAAGTTCAGTGGCTCGTTGGAGAGCTGCCGAGACTTGTTTGGGTGACTTGACCACATGTATCTCGCGTGGATAGCGGTCTGGTGTTGTTGCACTGGGGTTATTGCGACGACAGCGATCGTATTCTGGTGTGCCCCGGACAAGGACGTCAGAAGAGAAGCTGGGGCGTGTGTCGTAGGTGTACAAGGCCATATTGGGTAAGAGGTGGGTGGACTGAGTAGGTAAAGAAGACGGGATGCAGTGATGTGCGACGACTGCCAGAACGGCCCCGACTGGCTTTAAGAGATGCTGTCGAGGCTGCGGTGGGCCCAACCTCGACAGGGTGATGGTCGTGCCATTTCCGCAGGAAAGACGCCGTCACGTGCCGAACGGCGGGATGGGATGTATGCAGTGAGGGTGGATTTGCAGAGGCGAGACACTCTCCGGCGGCCCTGGTCCGGCACAAGTCCGGACAGCCATGGTCCGTGCACAAGTGAAGGGATTCATGCACGTGACTAATTGACTAGTGTATGCATGCACGATACACCAAGTACACTATACTACACTACACTAGATGGCGACCCTGCCGCGTCTCCGGTGCTTTCTCGGTACTTACCCCGCGCGGCTCACCCCCGCCCTTCTCAGACACAAGCGACAGCCTCACCCTGGCCAGTCCATGTGTCCATTGTGGCCTGGCTCTATCATGGCGATAAGCAGCGAGTGTGGAGGAGGCCCGATTGTTATCTCTCGAGTCTCGAGACCAACCCAGATACATCCCCCAAAAGGTCCCATCCCGCTGTCTACAATCCAGCACAATGAGCCCGTCGCCGCCAAAACGCCCCTCGACGACCATGGATCAACAGAACACCGCCGGGTCATCGCGTAAACGTCGCCTTCGATACGTATGGCGAGCCTGCGATGTGTGCCGGCGACGCAAAGGCAGATGTGATGGCCGTAAGCCTTGCGACTTCTGTCGCTCGCGTGCTTTGGAGTGTCGCTACACCGCCGACCAAGAACCCACAAACGAGCCTTCGCAGCAAGAGGATTCTGCTGTTTCTTACTCTGCCGTTGCTGCACCTCCTATGTTGCCAACCAATGCGTTGGGGGTGAACGCGTATGTTCCCTTAGTGCTCGCCTTCAAGTTGCCCTTGCCACTAACCCAGCATGCTCTTTAGCAAGGGCGAGTCCATCTCTCGTGTCGTACTTGCGCTGCAAGCACAGCTTGATAGTCTCGTTACACACATGGAGTTGTCCAACGAATTACACACCTCACCAGTCGTTGCAATAGATCCCGCGCTCCCCCGGCAGAGCGCTGCTCCCCGGCAGAACACGGCCCTCGAAGGTTCGGGCTCTGCCATCCCACCTTCCAGGGACGCTCAGATCAACGCGAACCCAACATCAACGTCTGATGCTCCCACAGTAGCCGTCGCAAATACATCAAAGCCATCCACTCGTCGCTTTTACGGCCCGACAAGTCCTGACTATAGTCTTAATGCTGCTACAATCAAGCTGCGACTGGCCCAAGCTCCTCCTGGCGGCCCCACTATCACAGAAGAGACCAACCCCAGCCTGGAAGATGACCAGACTGATGACGACGAGCGCACTCTGATCCAAGATGAAAGTCACGGGTCTGCCGTCCAAGAGCGTCTTGCCAAAACTAGGCTACGCCAATGCCTGGCTCAATTGCCATGGCTCATTGCCAGAAACGACGCTTTGCGCCTCCTGAACGTCTACCATAATGTCATCGGCCGCCTTCATCCTATTCTGGATCCAAAGCGGCTTGTCGAGCAAGCTGAGGCCTGTTATGTGTTTCATTCAAAACCCACATCTGATGCCTCAATTCTCCACGAAGACACCATTCTGATTTTATACCTGGCGCTTTCGATTGCACTTGCTGCCGAACCAGCCTCACAATCGCATGTGGGGAAAACACTGTACAAAGGTGTGGAGCACCTGATCAAGCTGAAATTAGCATCCGAAGTGTCAAGTCTAGATCATGTTCTGATAGCGTTACTGGCGGTAAGCCTTCCGTTTTACTCAGCAAGTGATACATTCGCTAACATGATGGAATTGCGACCAGTCTATTTACCACTTTTTTACTGGTGACACGCGTTTGGCATGGCGAGTGTGCGGAATTTCGGGGCGCATGGCAATGGAACTTGGGCTTCACCGCCGAGACGTCCATCGCCATCTTTTGCGAGACGAGAAGCAACGCACTGGAATTAGCGCTCTCATCTGGAGCATAGTCATCTTGGACAGGCAATGGAGTGCCGCTACTGGCTTGCCTCAAAACTTTCAGGAATCGGATTTTGATCAATCCATAGAGCCTCCGGTAAGTCATGTCATCTTCAAGACCCAAGAGCGATGTTGGGTTTGCCTTGAGACGAATTTTCTTGCTGACTTCAGGCATCATAGGAGGACGCATGGTATCTTCGAGCGATGATCTCATACACATTCATGAGTCCGAAGTTCGAAGTACCCATACACCGAGTCGCTGCCGGTGCAACTTATGAACAGGATGACGCTTTCGAACTACTCAATTTCCAGATTGACCAATGGCTGAAGAAGGCCATAGACGGCCATGGTATCTACCATCCATCCCCTGAGACGGCTGTTGGTGTAAAGCCAACAGTAGACCCCTCAAAACCTCCGTCACCCGTGGCCACATTACTTTATCTGCGTGCCAATGCTTTCCGGAGTATCATCCTTCGTCCATTCTTTCTTTCAGGCTCGCACTCCAACGTCAGCGTCAAAATGATCAAACCCAGTATGAACATCATCTCCGACACCATCGGTGTACTCTCTATGCTGAACTCTACAACCGACGTCTACAAAACCCAGCATCCATTCTTTCAGCATTTCCTCAGCTCTTCGTGTGCACTTCTTTTCTTAGTGGTGGCTTACGTTCGCGCGGACCGCAATCGGGTGGTCATCATGCAGTCCGCCGACTTGCTGGAGCCTTTTCCTGGCTTAGTAAAACGGGAGGTGGAACGTGCATTGGCTCTCGCTACAGCATACAGTACAATATCGCAGAGTTCCTGCAGACTTGCGAAGAGACTGCGTCATTTGGAGGAGCAACTAGCTCGACCTGACTTTCTCCAACCTCCTCCAATTGAGACCGCCCTTGATCGAACTTTGCAACCGCAGCAGAATCAGCAACAAAGATTCCCGATTCAAAGAGGACTGGGTGAGAAGGGAGATACTGTCGGTGGTGCTATGGGCACGTTCCTGGACCAGGGGGAATTTCTGCAAGTCGCGGATGATACTATGGGGGACCACACAATGAATGGTATGTGGTGGAATGATATTGATATGTTTTGGCCAGATTGGCCCAGCAACGAGGTTGCGAGTCAGTGTGTATGAGTGTATTACCCTATGTACATTAAGCAGAGGCCTGCAGTTCCCGGATTGGTAACCATTCAAACTTGGACATGCTGTGATCCCATGACACCAAACTGCGTCTCTCTTCGACCAGCTATGCGTTCTTGTTGCGGACCTGGAAGCTGAGCAAGACATTTGAAGTGACGGCATCTTTATTTTGCATCTTTCGTGCCGTTTCAATCCCCGCGACGGGTAGTTTATACTCGAGTTTGTTTCCGTCCTGGTTCTGCCCGCTTGGCAGAGCGTACGGTATAGGCAAGTACTCTGGCAATAGACCCAACTGAGCCAGCACAGTACCCTGGTCCCAGGCGATGTGTTCGTGGTAAAGACGGTCGCCTCGAATGTTGACAACCGCCGTAAAGGGGATTTCAAGTTTGCGGCCTGTCGGAGGTATACCGGGTATTCTACAGCTTGTCAGCGGCGCGACAATCACGTTTCGAGACGGGCGACATCTCACAGCCAATCCAACGGCGCGTCATGTGTGCACTTGAAGATGAACTCATCGATGACGCGATCGATACCCATGGAACGACTTATCAACTCCGTCACGACATCCTTGGGATTCGAGTAGACGAAATGGTTAGTATAGAAATCTGTAAGTGCCTCTCGTCCAATGCCTCCCGTGAGCTACGCACGTCAGCGATACGTCGCAACATGCTTTCGCCGCGCAATGAAACATACCGTAGGCACATGATTGACATATGGTTCCTGCACCATGGTCGCCATCGTCTTCGGCACCGACCGATCTTCAAACTCCCAGTACTGATGCTCGTCCCAAATCGCCTCGAGATCAAACCACGGACCATTCATGCGCGGTTTTAGGAATGACAGATTCCGCGTGTGCGACACTGACTCCATGTTGTAATCAAACTCTGGCTGGAAGGGCGTAGCAAAGAGATAAGACTTCGCATTGGGGTAGTCGTGGACGACACGGGTTTCGGTCCGAGGCGGCTTGCGCATCTTGCCCGCCATGTGTTGCAGGACGGGGACGGAGGTTATGGCGAGCTTGTGGTGCTCTGCTGCACTTGCGTACACGACGGCGCCGACGATTGAGGAGTGTGATGTTAGATATGGTGCTGCGCGGTTCCAAAGCTTTAGATCGTACGCTGCCATCCAAATTAGCAATGCAATGCGCAGACCTGGACTCGGGTAATATACCGATGACGCCAATTGCATCCTTCGGCTCACACCTCTCTGCCTTTGACAGCTCTGAGACGGCCAGACTTATTGGGTCCTTGCCCTCGAAGAAGGCTTCCTCAAGAAGCTCTACAACTGTGTAACTCTCTTCTCCCCATTTCATGAGCGGTGATGGAACACCATTTTCGATGCGCAAAGTCGTGTCATCTGTAGCCCCTGACTCATTTACAATTACAATGAGTCCGGGTCCTGAGCCTTTACGGGACAATGGCTGAGAAAGTATCACACCAGGAGCAAGACGCGTTAGAGAAGTGGCAGGAAGAGGAAGAGGAGTTTGGTCAGCGTCGGCCATGGTAGTGTATCGGAACGGAGCCTTGGGACTTATGGGGTACGAGTGGAAAGCGTATCAGGCCACAACTGGTGATGTTTTCACTTGGAATCTTACTGAAATAAACTTTGGTGGCTACCGAAACTATATGAGCAACTCAATTCTAGCTCGTCCCTACGGCCACGGGGCTGTGGGGCGGAAGTAGGTGGAGTACCGTGGCGGAAGGGCTCGAAGCACCAGATTCGACACGTGGGAGTACATTTCCTTCTGGAACCAAATTTCCATGACAGCCTACGGAAGGGTTTCAGCCGCCCGGCGTTGAGATCACGTCACATTCTAGTGACGCAAATGACTTGCATTTCACGGATTGGCCGCGGATACCGTACCGGATGGGTCAATGCCCGCTCCACCCCACCAACCACCACCACCATCACTACCCACCCGATCGCACCGCAACCACTTCGAATGGAGCATATCGGCGCTACACTTGAACTTATCGCTGTTTCGAATCCTAGCGAAAAATTGTATTCACCTAAATTGCGGAAAGGTTTTGGATTGATTAAAGAACGCTCGCGCGCTAATATCAATGTAAATCATCTTCACACTACGTCAAGGCCTGAAAATGTTGGGCTTCCCACCTACAACCAGCAATCGATATAACAAGATATATAGATGAACTTAGTGTACGTAGCTCTCCACCGAATCAAGATCTTATTTGAAATAGCTTTGAACATCACAAAATCACAATTTAATCCCTACTCACTTGATTGCTTTACTCTCTCACGTTGCGCGGTGATATCAAGTTCAAAGAAAGTTCCGATAGATAGAGTTGCTTGTTTAATTCACTACATTATCTCTACCAGAAATATTGGGGTAAGAGATCTTGTATGAAGCTCTATAACCTCATCTTTGCGATAGTTTTGATGGGGAAAATCGAGTATTAGCCTGTCCGGTACGGGATGCATTCAGACATGGCATTAAGGTGCGGAAATCACAGCATATGGGCCCTTGATTCTCAAAAGTGTTTCATTGCAAAATGTACAGGTATCTATCCCAAGGCTCAATGTACCCAGCTCTCATTTATTCTTCCAATCACAACCATTCCACCTCTCAAACCCATCAGTATGAATGCCGAAATTATCCAACATGCGCCCAACACTCTGCTCCACCATATCCTCCAGGCTCTTCGGCCGCGTATAAAACGCAGGCATGGGCGGGAAAACCACGGCCCCCATCCTCCTTACCGCCAACAGGTTCTCCAGGTGGATATCGCTCAGCGGCGTCTCGCGCGGCACCAGCATCAGCGTCCGGCGCTCCTTCAACGTCACATCAGCGGCGCGCGAGATCAGATCGTCGCAAAAGCCTATGCGCACAGCGGCGAGCGTCTTCATGCTACAGGGCACTATGATCATGCCGTCGTGCAGGAAGGATCCACTGGCAATTGGAGCCGTCATGTCGCGTGCCGTGTAGACTCTGGAGGCGAGGGAATGGATTTCGGCTTCCGTCCTATCGGTCTCGTATTTGAGAGTTGTATGGGCCCATTTGCTCATTATCAGGTGTGTTTCTATGGATAGGTCACGTAGGATTTCGAGGAGGCGGACGGCGTAGATGGTGCCTGTTGCGCCGGTTATGCCGATTACAATGCGTTTTGGGCGGCATGGTTGTGTGGGTTTGTGGGATTGGTAAGGAGTTGCAGTTGAGAAGGCGTGGTGGTGTTGAGTGACTGCGCGAGTGTTGATGCGGTTGTGAATTTGGAATGCACTCGTCAATTGGCGACTGACGCTGTAAGGTCGAGGGCAGAGCATGTGCATGTTGGAGGTGCGGCGTGAGTGGCCAGCCACATGCCCAACATGTTGCCATCATTACTCGTACTCATGTCGGTGCTGTTATGGACCCTTGCTGGACCCTGGACGCTTCGTCCGCGCGGCGTTTGCGGCGTTTGCACTACGGAATGGACGACGGAAGTTCCAAAGCCTGTATCCGGACCATTCCGCCGCCTTCGGAACGCTATCTAGGAACGTTCCTAAACCCGACACTACGGTAACCCTAACCCTGACCCCGCAGATAGACTGCGCCAATTGCTTGACTAGCGGCAGTTCGCGCGTGGGTCGGAGACAGGGGACCCATGCTCACTTTCTAGGGACGCTGCAGAGGGAAAGAGCGAGGGACTCAGCAGCATGTCCAGTGCGTGTGTGCCACCCTAGCTCCCATCTGCACATCGTCATCATCAATAGAGCCAGATGCTGTCGAGACTACGTCTATGCAACCCTCGAAGCTTTCGAGCGGCTACGATACACCATCATCGACGTCTCATGGCTACTACTGCTGCTGCCCAAAGCACGTCCAGTGCGCTTCCGGCGAGTGAAAGTCCAAGCGCACCACATGATTTTCGAGCTTTTCTCGACGTATTGCGAGCTGACAATGATCTGGTTGAAATCGACGCCGAGATCGATCCACATCTCGAGGTTGGAGCAACCGCCCGTCGTGTCAGTGAAACCAATGGAAAGGCTCCATTATTCAACAATATCAAAGGCGCGCGCAACGGGCTATGGCGCATCTTCAGCAACGCCGCTGGGCTGAGAAAGAACGAGGACGAGAGGTTCGGTCGTGTCGCCAGAAATCTTGGACTCCCCAAGGACGCGACCTGGAAGCAGATCTGCCATCGGAGTCAGGAGGGCAAGAACAAGGCTCCCATACCTCCCAATGTCGTCCCGACAGGACCGTGCCAGCAGAATCAGATCCTCGGCGATGCCATCGACCTCGAAGCTCTTCCAGTACCCTTTCTGCACCAGCATGACGGCGGAAAGTTTCTCCAGACGTATGGTGTCCATATGCTCCAGACTCCTGACGGATCGTGGACCAATTGGTCCATCTTCCGTGCCCAGGTCTACGACAAGCGAAATCTGGTCGCCCTTATCAACCCTGGACAGCATAATCACATGGTCATGGAAATGTGGAGGAAGTTGGGCAAGGACGTGCCATGGGCCCTTGCGTTTGGCGTGCCTCCTGCTGCGACCATGGCAGCAGCATGCCCTCTCCCTGAAGGTGTGAGTGAGGCTGAGTATGTTGGTGCCATGATAGGACGGCCTCTCGATCTGGTCAAGTGTCAGACGAATAATCTGCTTGTGCCTGCCAATAGCGAAATCGTGCTCGAAGGTACACTGTCGACTACCAAGACGGGTGACGAAGGGCCCTTTGGTGATTATCTGGCACATCAATTCGATGACGAGCGACGGCCAGGCTCGCTCCTTAAAGTCGACGCCATAACATACCGCAACGATGCCATCCTGCCCGTCTCCGTCCCAGGCCGTATCGTCGATGAATCCGTAAGCCCACCAACCCTTCACTCCCTTCAAGCTCACTAACACGCACTCAGCACACCACGGCCTCCCTTGCCTCAGCCGAAATGGTTACTCTCTGCCAATCCCACGGCCTCCCCATAATTGATGCTTACTGCCCCCTTGAAACAATGGGAACCTGGTGCGCGCTGCAAGTCTCCCTTCCGCAGCTCGGTCTCCTGAAAACCGACGCCGCATCCTTCAGCCAACAAATCGGGAACCTGGTCTTTTCCTCAAAAGCCTCAATGCTCATCAACCGCGTCTTCCTCATCGGCGATGACATCGATGTGTACAATTTCAAAGACATCATTTGGGCGCTCAGCACGAGGGCGCGGCCGGGGTTGGACGATTTCCCGTTTGAGGATGTAAGGGGGTTGCCAATAATGCCGTATATGTCGCACGGAAGGGGGGATCGGAAAAGGGGAGGCAAGATGGTGACGAATTGCTTGTTGCCGGCTGAGTATGAGGGGCGGAGAAATTGGATTCCGGTGGATTTTGAGAGTTCTTATCCGGAAGCGGTCAAGGAGAAGGTTAGAGAGCTGTGGAGGACAACAGCGATTGGAGAGTAGATGAAATTTATTTTGTTCGCCTTCTACCAATTGCAAAATCTGATGTTTCAATTGCCATATCATCGCATCCCTCACATTACCAACGCCGTCAGGCAGTCTTTTCAACTTCTGAATATGAATAGTTGATATTTGAAGATGCTGTGGTACTTATATTTCAGTTCTACACAATAAAGCTGCATGCCTCCTAAAGACTCGCCTTCTCCCAAGATCCCTTCAACCGCACTTCCAGGACAGCAAGAACCCCGTTCTTCACCGACTCAATCGCTTGGGGCAGCAACTCGTCCAACTCCTTGACACTGCTCGCACATCCAGCCCAAGCATCATGCCCAGCCGCCGCCTTTGCAATACCAGAATAATCTGGTGTAGGCGCAAACGAAATTCCAATTCCCTCGTTATCAACCTCTGAGCCAACGCCATCAGGGTGTACGAGGAGAAGTGAGTTGCGTGGAGCATTCCAACCTGCATCAAGAATTAGCCCAGACCTTTTCCAAACTTGAATAAGCATACCTTTGTTGCTCAAAACAATTGTCAACGTCGGAATCGAATACTTCCTCGCAATCCAGTAGACCGTACTCGGCACCCCGAACATCCACGTTCCATCGCCCACAATCTGACAAACAAATCCGCCCTTGCCCGTCCTGCCCGCCAAATAATCAGACGCGAGCTTCACTCCAATACTGCCTCCTCCTGACCACCCCAACCCACCTCCTCCGCCGTTGATCAAGCAACCCGGAGTATCGACCTGCAGCTGGTTGCACGTCGGCAACGCATTCGTCACCGCCTCGGGGCACCAAATGGTATTCTCCGGACACAACTTGCGCAGCTGCGATGCCAGGTACGGGGTATGCGCCGGCAGGCTTCTATCCGCAGGCGGCGCAGCAATAACTGCAAGGTTATCTAGACGGGCTCGATGCTCTGCTACCATCTTCTCGCGACGAGAAAGATACGGTTCCTTGGCCAATACGGCGGGGTACGTCGCATGGCTAGAAATATACTGCTGGATCTGTCTAAAACTGAGTTCCGCATCGGCGCAGTACCGGTACTTGGCAGGGATGTAATGAAGTAGCATATTCCTCTTCAGCGTATCTACATCGATATGCATAATGACTGCGTCGGGCCGCGGAGAGCATTGCGTGGGGATCCAGGGGACGTCGCAGTCTACGACGAGGATCACGTCTGCGGTGCGTATACTCTCGTGCCCGCCGATTTGCAGGCCCAGGGACGCAGGGTGCGAATACGGGAAGCAGACATCGCTGCCCAGGGCGTCGATGACGCGAAGACCAGGGACCGTGTCTGCGAGGGCGACGAGGGCGCCGCATGAGGCGTGGTTGCGGCCTGAGTATCCGGTTATGACGAGGGGCTCTTTCGCTGTTACTAGGAGATCGGAGATGGTTGCTACGCCGTCTTGGGCAAGGGGTTGGGGGGATACAGGGCCCCAGACGGTTTGGTCGAGCTTGTAAGGCGTAATTTCTTGCTCGAGGACTTCACGGCCGGCGGTGAGGTACACGGGGCCTTTTGGATCAGAGGTTGCAAATTGGAGGGCGCGGTTCACCATTTGCTTTACGTTTGTGCCCGTCTTGATTTCGCCAGTATAGCGGCAGAATTGTTGGACTATTTGTTTTTGGTCTGGGGCGTCTTGGAGCCAGTGGATGTATTCTGTGCGGGAGCCGCGCATTTCGCCTAGATTTTGTCAATGTGGGGCTTTAGGTTTAGGACGAGAAGACTTGAATGTTACCTTCGAGTGTGAAGGGTGAGAGACCCGCGAATATCAGTACTGGGACTCGTGCAACGGAAGCATTGTGTACAGCAGCACCGAGGCATTGGGTACCGACATCTACGTGCACAATCACGCACTGAGGTTTACCGGTAAGTCGAGCAAAGCCGTCAGCCATTGATAGCGCAACGGTCTACAGTGGACGTCAGAGAGCTCTTTCACCCAGCTTGCTGCAATTGTTCACCTCATGGGGGCACGTGACGACTTTTGGAAAGCTTCCAGTCGGGTCCTTCTTTCCTCGTGCAATCGCTTCCATTATTCCAGGGTGGTCAGACCCCAGATTAACAAAAACGTGTGAGATACCGGCCTGGAGCAATATTAGAATGTCATCACGAGAGAACATTGACTACATTTCGTACCTCCCATAATGCCTCGAAGAACGCAGTCGCTGTTGTGTATTTCCTGCGCATAATTAGCAATATGCTAGGCACTCATTCTGCTCAATGTACCAACATTTGACTCATGATTGTGTTGATTCTCAAACTTTTCGAGAGGATACAGATTCAGAAAGCCCTGTTGCGACCCTTCAATATGAAGTCATATGCAGATAGTACATGGCGCTGGGTCCCCATGCCGCAACGCGTCTAGTTCCGGCGCGCTTCGGAATACGCGTTAGGCGTGACCGAACGACGTTGAACCGCCGCATCAAACCGAACTAGTAGCAGTCCCTAGGATTTAGCTCAACTTGCACGGTGAGCCGTTTCCTTCCGTGGGGCTTGTGATTCGTCCGATGTCGGATTGGGTGTTGGAGTGGTGATTCTGGGGCTGCGGGGAGATTGAACTTGGTGGTTCCGAAGGGCGAGGTAGCAATGGTAGGCAGCAGTAGATGCTCGAAAGTTTTGGATGAAGCTGCGCGTGCCATTGCATTCATGCAACGAGGAGATTGTCTGCGGGGTGTGAGATTTTCATATAATTATCGCATTTCGATTCTGAACCAGTAACCTGAACAAATTTCACTAACTTCGTGTTGGTGTTGTTCTTGAGCGGCCCGAAATGGACAAAAACTCACGTTTGGCTGTCCGATTTCGTCACGTCTCGAATCGCATCGAGCATTGCAGTATGATCAAATTCCTGTAAATTGTTGCTGCATAATTTCTATCTGCCCATAAGATGCGCGCAATCATGTATTGCAACTGAGCTGACTTGTTACTACCTACTTGCTGTATTACTTGACTTTATTTTATATGTAATTGCTATATAACGTATCGAGTCAATTATGTCAGAAAAGAATGGCAGGCCACACCCCAGCGTGCCATAATCGGGTTACAGAAAAAAAAATACTTCACAGTAAAGTAAAAATATTCGACAATCATGTATTCTAGCACGCTGGCGCAACTACCTTAGTGACCCCTCCAACAACTACTCATAAACAATTTTATTCCTCGTCCTCCCGCAATGCTCTACCTCCACCTCCACAACATCCCCATCCCTCAACCACTTCGGGCCCCCAGCCTGCCCAAACCCTACACCCGACGGCGTCCCCGTCATAATCACAGTCCCTTTCTCCAGTGTTGTCCCCTGACTCAGAAAGCTAACAATCGTTCGGACGTCAAACAACAAATCGCTAGTATTAGTCTTCTGCCTCTCCTCCCCGTTAACCCAGGTCCTTAACTCGAGATTGTCTGCCGCCCCAACCACAGCTGGTGACATCATCAACGGGCCAATAGGTGCATACTTGTCAAATCCCTTGCTGAAGCACCACTGCGGGACGCCTCCTGCGTACGCGGGATCACGCTGCCATTTGCGGGAGCTGATGTCGTTGGAAGATACGTACCCCGCAACGTAGTCGATGGCGTCGTCTTTGGAGATGTTCTTCCCCGTCTTGCCGATCACAATGGAGAGCTCGCCTTCATAGTCGGCTTGGTCGTCTTGTGCGATTTTGGGGATTGGGACGGTTTCGTTCCAGCCGGCGATTGAGGTGTTGGCTTTGATGAAGAGGGAGGGGTAAGGCGGCGGTTTGCGACCTGCCTCCGCGACTAGTTGAAGGTGGTGAGATATGTTGTAGGTGAGTTTGAAATTGTACTTACTGTGTGTTTTGTAGTTCAAGCCGATGCAGCGTACGGTGGGAACATCTTTTGGTTGGAGGAGATGAAGGATCTCTTTCACCTTGACGATTTTCCCGGTGCTTTTGACTTCGAAGGGGCTGGTACCTTCAAGAATCTCTGCTTCTAAGCCAGTTTCCAGTTTTGACATGAGATCCTGAGCATTTTCAAGTTGTGGCTCGCCATAATGTTCAGCACCATCTTCGCCACGGAAGCGAATCAGTCGCTTCCAAGATGCTCCGGGAATGCCCATGACGAAGGATGATTGAGAGAAAGACGTATGACGAAAGTAATACTAAGCGGGGTAATGACAAATCTGGGTACATCTGTAGAACTGTCTCTCGGCATGTTTTATGTGCAATAATCTGCAACTGCTGGTCCTGGCTGCTGCAAAGCCCACGGAAACGAGCCGGACCTCGGGGGTTAGCGTGCGGAGGATCGCTACCCAATCGCCGTGGTTGACGAACATGCTCCGATGATGCCCTGGCATTTGCAACACAACGTCGGTCGATCATTTTGTAAGCATAGATGATATTGGAATTGTATCCAGTGTCATGATTCGCCCGGCCTCGCACATCCCCGTTTGGTGTTAGTGCTTTCCGATGCGTCCAGAGCACAGAATCTTCCGTCAGCAGGTGCGCATTCGTTCCGCGGGCTTAGAAACGCGCGTTCGTATATACAGGTATCCAGTATTTGTAAACTAAGTGGTCTTGCATATATAAATTCGAATTCGGTAATCGATGATCTATAGCTTACCGTATCTTTCCTGCCCCAATACACACTTCACTGACCATCTTTGACTATTATCCTATTTCGATTAGCAAGATGACTGAGGTCTTGTCGACCACACAGGCCCCACGTCTGAATGGTGAAGACGACTCTCTAGAGAAGCTGCTCTCCGACGTCCAAAAGCATGCCGTTTCACCACTCTGGACCCAAATGAAGAGGTTGAACCCTCCACTGCCCAACCCCCAAGCAATCCCTCATCTATGGAAGTACAAGGAGATCCGGCCAGACTTGCTGCGAGCAGGAAAGTTGGTGACGGAGAAGCAAGCTGAGAGGCGGGTATTGATGCTAGTGAATCCTAACAAGGGTATGTATGGACATCGCCGTACCTCAACGACCTCAGACCCCTCATGATGATAGTAATGAATCTCGACTCACGTCTTTCACAGAAGCACCATTCACCACCGACACCATCTACGCCGGCCTCCAACTCGTCATGCCCAACGAAACCGCCCCGGCCCACCGCCACACTGCCTTCGCCATGCGCTTCATCATCGAAGGCGAAGGCGGCTTCACCGCCATCCATGGCCGCCGCGTAAACATGAAGCGCGGCGACGTTATTCTAACCCCGACCTGGAATTGGCACGACCACGGCAAGGACGGCTCTGGCCCTATGATCTGGCTTGACGGACTTGATCTCCCTAACTTCGTCCATTTCCCAGTGCATTTTGTAGAGCATCACACTGCGGCAAGGTATCCAGCGGAGAACGTGGATTCGAATACTTCACCGATTGTGTTTCCGTGGGCGAGGATGGTAGAGAATTTGGATAAGGCGCCGGGGAAGTGGGTTTCGTTGCCGTACCTTCAGGCCAATGGAACAGAGGGTAAGTGGGATAAGATTCCAAAATCATGGATGAGAGCCATACCTAACACGTGTGATTTAGTGAGCAGAATACTCGGCGGTTCAGCGGAGCGGCTTAACGCAGGGGAGAGTTCTCCGCCAGTGCGGGAGACAGCTTCTTCGGTCTACCATGTTGTTGAAGGATCAGGGTACACAGAGGTAGAAGGTAAGAAGTTAACTTGGGAGCGTGGAGATACTTTCTGCATCCCATCATGGCATAAGTATCAGCACTTTGCTTCGGATGGGCAGACGGTGTATCTCTATCGCTTCGATGACAAGCCGATGCTGAAGGCATTGGGATTCTATCGCGTGGAAGGAAGTGATACGGACGCTTTGGCTTCGTCGTGGACAGCGTTGTAGGCTTATTACTGCCGCAAGATGGCTGGGCAGTTATGAGGGACTTTGGGTCAATGACCTGACTTATCTTACGCTCTTTGTATATGAAGAACTGTCATGTATTTTAGCAAAGCGAATTCTGTCGTTTAAGGTTGTGCCAAACACTTCAATCTCGATGGCCAGGTTTGAACTGTGGGAGTTACATCTTCACCATTGCAACTCTCTATCTGTGCATCGTGATATGACATTGGCGCAGTCCAAATGGCGCGTAAAGTAGAATTCTACTTCTCGATTCCAGTCCAACTGTGCAATAAGGTACAACAGCGAATTGGGTTGGCTGAAAGACAAAATCTAGCTGATGATGGTATTCGTTTTGAGGATGTTGCATGCTCGTAGCGAAGAGCGTCGCCTTCAACATTTGCAAACTCCATGTATCAGCTAACTATAAACTACAAATAGATCTCGCATCACTATGGTGATGTTCCAGAGAGTCTCGTAGCCGAGCTGTGGCAGGCGGACGGAGTGAGAGGGTCGGAACGGGCCGGCCTCAGTGAACGCCTCTTTGGTGGTAGCGTACATGCGGGACTGATGATCAGGCGAATCGAGATTCTCGCCATCCTAGTATCTGGAAATAAAAGCTTCTCTTGACAATACATTAGGCCACGTGTGGAGACCCACCTGGTAGCTGCCGCCAAATCGTAGACCATGAGTTCTTCAGTGGTGATAGCAGAATGGTTGAGTGAACTTGGACAAAGATTCTTGTCAAACTTCAACTTCTGTGATTTTAGATTTGTCTCGTGTATCTCCCGGAGAGAAAAGAAACTAACAATGAAAGATCTGTTATCGAACTCCGACTCGGCCAGCTTCACGGTGAACACCTTGCAGTCGACCCATCTATCATCAAGTGTGAGCGGCGCTTGCTAATTTTATTCTGGATTCCAAAGATATTGTGTTCCCGACAGGTCATCGTGATTCTCCCGATACACGAAGGCGAGGCAATAGTAAACTGGGTTTGGCGAGAGTGGTTTATCACAGATAGCGAAAAGGAGTTTCATAATAACGTCGTGCGTTTCTGAGAACTCGACTGCCGTATCTAGCAACAACATCAGGGCTTCTAATCCAAATCTCCAGGCTTCGACGATGTGCGGACAGAGCTCGGGATCGATTCTGCGGCAGATGCGGGTGAGGTATCGCTTGAGGCGAAATCTGCCAAGATCCTCATGCATTCTTGAAAGGAATTTCAATGAGCACTCCCCTTTCGACCGAACCATAGATCCATAGTAAGAAAGTTATGCTTGTGAAAGGTGCTGGTGTGGAAGTTGTGACGTTGCAACCACGGATCTTGTTCTTGGATCTCTAGATAGATGGAGTGATTAAGCAACCGTCCATGGCACACACTACGTAATAAGTAAAGTTGGGAAAAGCTCGGGTGATTATATTTTCTTACTGTTGCCTTGTTAGATGTTTGTCTAACATACCAACAAGCTTGGGAAGATCAAAGGAATGTGGCATAGCCTAGTCCCCACCTATCTTATTAAGATCTGCACATATACGAGGTGGTAAAGAAAACTAACAGGGACTCTTATTATCTGTACTACTCTGAGACATGGCTCCAGTACTTCTATTGGTACCCTAGCCGCAAACCTAACCTCCTTCGATCTTGGTACCAAGATACCAATATCTATAGCGAGCTTTAATAGATACGCTGGCATCTAAAGCCACCAGCAGCAGAACTATCCCCTGCGATTAAACTGGTTAATAAAAGATGCAGTAGTCTAGTAACATATGTTGGCTTACTTCGGCAACGGCTACTGCAGCAAATATCACGACCAACTCCTGGGCATTCCTCTACACAATATTAGCTGTTTCGAATATTCTAATATGATCAATAATAGATCTAGAGATTAGCCCTAAAGTCATATATGGTAACTCACGTCCTATCTGAAGACCAGGCGCTCCAACTGTCAAACAGCCAACGCATCTTCCGCCACCTTACAAATAATTAGCATAGATTTCAATATCTCTAGCACACTGTTTAACTTACTGCATCGATTTGATTAGCAACTACTGCCCGCCGTGCATGCATCTAACTTCTGATTGGTTATTCATTCTCTTGTTAGACAATTGAGATCATTACCTCCGACAACTCCACGTTGAGCTGCAATCGTTGAGACAAAAGCCAGAGAGCTCACAATCGTAACGAAACGCATGTGAGAAGATTCTCGATGTTTTGAAAAAGGGAGTTGGTCCAGGTTGATGATATTGATAGATTTAAGCTGCTAGGTAGGATACAAACGAAACCGTACCCCCCACAATCCTTATATACGCCGACATGGCTTTTGAAACATCGTACTACTGTCGGTCAACTAGCATGACTCTTGGTCCGAATCAAGTCATCATCAATATAAATTGGCATGGAGAAGAGTTCAAGGAGAGTAGTTATAGAACTTTGTTAGTATTTATATTGTTCTACTAAAGCTAAAAAAACTTAACGATATCAATGAAGTTGTCAGAATACGGGTATATCTTAGGTGGTGGACAGAATCCGGGTGTTCTCGAGTACCCGGATTCTGTGATCTCAGCCAATCAGGGCTGATCGCC